ATTTTTTTTCAGTGCCACCTATTTATCTCACTAAAGATTGATAAATCTTAGTACGTTTCTGGTTTTAGAAATGAATGTAATGATCATTTTATTATTTCTACAATGAAAGTTTCAAGCAGTCTAAAAATTTTAAACCAAAATAAATAAACTTTATATGGAGCATTTTAAAATGATCTCTAAAACTCAAAAAATACTTACTTTAGCTATTTCAGTAGTTTCAGCTACCAAATAATAATTACTTATATTAACCAAATCAGGACCATATGTAAGCCATACTGTTCGTTCTTCAATAGTTTCACGTGGTCCATGTTGTTCCAACTCAAACATTATTCGCCCATCTTTGGGATATGTTCCACGCCTTGCTTCCCATACCTTTAATCAAATTTTGAAAGCACACAACATGAAATCAAAAATGTTTCAGGAACTGAAATTTAATAAACAAAACTTAGAATTCGAAAAATCTGATGCAGAATATTAGCAGTAATGTTAAATGTAATGTTCATTATTACAATTCTCAAAAAATTATAATAAAGTGATGCACTGTACTGCTGAATTAATTCCAACACCTTCCTTGCATTTTTTGTTGCAGTTTTCAAGTACTGATTTTTTCCCTCATATATCGCTTTTTAAATATTTTTTATACATTACATTCATTTCTTTTCTTTCTGCAAATTGCGTCAAATTTCTTGATCCTTACAGTGTGACATTATCAAAACATTCAAGCTGCCGTTCAAATTTGCGACTGACAATCAAATAATATAATTCAGACTTATTTTATCTTCATTAATATGATGTTTTCATATCTTTGGCATCAGGCATTAAAAATTACAATGAACAGTCTTTATGCATACAAATGAAGTCACATCCTTTTACACCTGCAGAATCTCACTGCCTGGTAGAGAGAAAAAGGAACTTATCACCCAGTTTATTTAATTTTAAAATAAACATAAAATATGAAAAATAAGCACTATACTTGGACAAGATCAAGCACAGATGTATCTTTTCTCTCTTCTGACGTCCAATACACAAAAAATCCGAATTCATCAACACGGAGAAAAGTGTCAGATTCTACACAAATACTCTCCTAAAATATTCCTTCATGTCAATGTCAATGGAAAATCGCTAAATTGGAATGCTTGAATTTTCATTATTCAAATTATAAGTAGAATAAGTGAATAATGAAGCATATAATGGTAAAAGAGTAGTGAAGTACAGTACCGCTTCCATGGGGAGATAAAGAATTTAGGGGAATGAAAAGACAGCATGAAAAGTGAGTAAATAACGTACATCGTCATATTTATCGAACAAACAACCACTGAGCAGAGCATCGGGAATGTTAGGCTTCCAAATGAATTGGAACTCTTTGGCCATTCTTGAGAAAGGCCCAGAAAGCCCTTCTCACATCACCCAAATAACTTACTGAAAATGCTTGTCATCTTCAGAACATGCTTCCACCAATACTACTCAACAAAATTTCCGCTTACGTCGCAAGACAACCTTTGCTTTCTTGCGCAGTTAGTTAATCAGCCAGTTTTATCGGCTAATTAATTAATTAATTAATTGAATGCAAAAACCATTTGGCAAAGAAATTCAACGAAGAGTTAACTCATAATGACATTCATTTCAAGTGAAGAGAAGAGCATCAAATTAACAATACACAACGACAATTTATTTTTGCAAAATATGCATAACAAAGCTATCTTAGACGCCAATAATGAATTAGCTGGCAGAGACGTGACATGACATGACATGCCAAAAGTTAAACAGTGCAAGACTTTCCGTGACCCTTCTCATCAGCTCTCATAAATATACTTGAAGGCAATTAATCAAGCTATGTACGTGTAAATGAGGCCAAAAGAGGTAAACAAGCAGTGAAATGAGAAGTAATTAGCAAAGAAAAGGTGTAATGGCATAGCAGACTGTCACGAATGTTTTAGAGAGAGACAGACTAGCTTCAATCCCCAAATAGATACTATTTGCAGCAGTAGTAATGTACAAAATAACGGAAAGGTGATGACACTGACCAGAATAGTAGTTAAAGGCTTAAGATGTAGAGAGAAGCAAGATGGAGCAGAAGCAAACACAAGACAGTTGAGGAGAAGCAAAACATGGTGGAATAGTGAGATGTGATGGGATATTACGCTGAAGACAGAAGTGATGTGGAGAGGATTACTGGGGTAACAGAAAGATAAGGTGAAGGAAAAATAGAAAAGTATGCAAGAAGCATTCTGATGCTATACAAAAGCTAAAAGAACACAGACTGCGCAAGTAAAGCCGAAGCTATATAGCTTTGCTTTTATTATCGCTAATGATAAAAGACTTGTTTCGAATCAGAAGAAAAAAGCAGAAGTGAAGGTGGAAAGCTTTTCCTTCTACTACTTTATATGGAAATTAGTCTAGAGAAAAAATCGTTTAGGAGGTGCAAATAATGAAAGAAAAAAGAGAATACTACAGCACAAGTGATGAAAAGAGAACAAAAATTTGAAATATGTTTAGCAAAGGGTAGAAATGAAGACTAGGCTTAGAAATGTAGCTAGCCAGCAGTGAGATAAGAACAGACTTATTTATCTTTTGCATGAACACATTTTGAAAATCTGCTCTTAAAGCGGAACACGGCTACATACGTTAGTTACATTTAACGAGCTTAAATGTAAAGATGGAAAGGATTCTTGACCAATATTAATTACTGTCCATTATATCAACATGGCATACCTTCAATTACTAGTAAGCGTTTCCAGTTAAAAACATTTCAGCATCTTATTTAATTTACTGATCTATTCGTTTATCAAATAAATGATCCATTATTTAGCCACCTATTTATTCATGCAGTGTAGTCAATTGATAATTTATCAATACGACAGTTCACATGGTTACAACCCAACATCACTTATCCTTCTAATTTAATTATCAATGTTCACTCAACCAATAAATGAAATAAAGTAGCGGGCTGACGCAGCTTTTATAGCTGTACAAAATGCATAATTCTTCATAATTTGCCAGCTGAAAAATGCCAATGCAATGATTGAGAAAACTGAAAAAACATTGACTGAATCAGAAATGCATTCTATTCACTCATAATAATTAATGAATAAATAAATAAATAAAATATATATAAAACAAATATATATATATATATATAT